CCTTTGGGGTTGCTGCAGGTGATCTGGAAGTCTGGTTTTGAGACTTATTTATGTGTTTTCTCATTTCGACTGGGGCGGGGGGCTGTTAGCGCCTGCACGGATTATCTCCTCTGAGCTGGATGAGGTGGGATGGGGCCGCGAGCAACGGTAGGGATGGTGACCCAAAAAGCCCTTTCCTGTGGGCTGGGAGCAGTGGAAGGGATGGTTGGTGGCCGGGAAGCCCCTTCCTCTGGGCCAGGAGTGGCGGGACAGAAGGTGGCCCAAAAGCCCTATCCTGTGGGCTCGGAGCAGTGGGTGGGATGGTGGCCAGGAAGCCCCTTCCTCTGGACCAAGAGCAGTGGGACGGCAGCTCAGAAGCCCCTACCTCTGGGCCGGGAGCAGCGGGATTCAGTACCGTGGTCTGGTGGTCTGGTGTCCTCTGCGTCTTTGTAATGTGGAACCAGGTGGCTGTATAGAGGAGCGGGGGTGGGGATCCAGTGCATTGTTGCCGGGGCGTGGTCTGATTCTGCATGTTCCGTGTGACTCGGGACCTCAGTAAGGCGTGTGCAGCAGCCCTTGTTAACATTAATATCACATCATTTAATTATCCCTTTGATTCTTCACCAAATGTACCCTTTGGCTTTTGGAACATGGGTTTACTTTCCTGAGGTCTTCCAACAGTTCCTGTGGCAAGTGGGGCAACAATTATGATAATCTCCAATATTCATGCAACAGTCAATGTCTGTTTAAAACAAACATTTGGCCTGGGTTGTAGCATAGGGTTAAAGTTTTTGCTTAGTATGGGCAAGTACCTGGGTTCAATCCCCAGCAACAAATCCAAAATAGAAAAGAACTTATGATGGGAATCTACTATGTATCAGATGTCTGTGCTAAGGTCTGGAGAGCTTCCTACATATAAGGTACAAATCAAGCTTCAAAGTAGCACACCTAGTGCTTCCTTCTAAGGGGCTATCATGTGATTTTTCCATGCTGACTAAACTGAGATCATGGTGATTACCAGGATCAAACAAATTCTTTTGGGTTTGTGGGCTGAGCCAAAGAGAGTTAGCAGGCAGTGGAGACAACTGGAAAGACAGAGAAAGAGTCCAATCCACAAGTTGCCCTGGAACCTCTTCCAGTTCAGAATCCAGCTCTGAGACCTGTTTTCTGGGTTTCTTGCATACCTTCAAGTATCATTATTTTCTACGAGTACCTTGAATAAGGTATTATCCACCTACAGACCCTACCTCCTGATTTGTAGATGAACCTACCCAACCTCAATACAAAACACTGCATTGGTTAACAGATCCTGCTTACCTGACTACAGGGTAGTACTGTCCCCAGAACAGATGGGTCATGGTGGTTCATAAGCTAACACAGTGACAAGTGTGTATGCCGATGACCTAGTCTAAGTTCATCACAACCTTTCCCTGAGTCATTTCCAAGTGGAATTGTTATAAAGTTGGGAGAATGTTAGACCTCCCAGCACTCATGATTCTAGCCTCTAGGGAAAAAAATGGCCTATGAGTGAAGCAGAATATATAGAAGACTCAGTAATGAGAAATGAAGACATGAGGGGGAGCTGGGAGAGGGAAGAAGGCAGAGAGAGAGAGGGAAAGAAAATGAGATATTCTCATACACATCCTTACTGAAGTTTGAATCCCTGTTTCCTGCTTAACCTAGCCTTTACCAAGAGCCAATTAATTTCTTTCTCTGTCTCCTGAAATAAGGTGATTTTTTGGTTACTTGAAACCAAAAGAGACCTATATTAAAATGCCTCCTACTGTTTGAAAACCAAAAAAAGTGAACACACATGTGATAAGATCTAGAATTAACATAATCCATAAGCCCACAGAGTGAGAAATAGTTACACTTGCTATGGTTGAGTAAATCACTAGCATCACACTCACAATCTTGGAATATCATAAGACTGGACATCCAAAATTACTATGGGAAGCAAGACTGAGTCAAGCTGCACAGTGAAGATGGCATGTAGCCAGGTTAGGACCAAGTAGACAGTTAATAATAGGAGAGTAGTCCAGCTGTGGGTTCTTAGAAAATGGCAGTAGATGAAGTTGGAAATGTATGTGGGACAAATTATAAGAGTCATTAGTTGCCACATGCTAAATATTTAGGGCTTTAACCACAGACAATGTAAACTAAACTAAAGCTTTTAAGGGGAATCACACAATAGACCTACCTAAGAAAGGAAATTCAGTGGAGGGTGAAGCCAAGAGAGACTAGTCAAGGACTAGCCAGGGAGATAGCTAAGAACTACAGCAAACAGGCCAAGTATGATTCACTGTCTACTTTTGTAAATGAAATTTTATTGGAATGTAGATGGATTTGTCCATTGGTTTGTAGTTTCCAAGCTATAATGGTTTCAACAAAGATCGTATGGCTGGTGGTGTCTAAAATATTTGCTATCTGGCCCTTTACAGAAACAAAATTTCCAAACTCTAGTTCAGGGAAAAGATAATGATGTACAAAATGGGAAAGACAGTCCCTGGGCAGTGAAGTGAGGGAGAAGAAAGAATTTGAAGCTTCTTACTTTGGGTGGCTAGGATGAGGGTAAACCAGGAGGAGCATACTTAGAGATGTCTGTAGATAATTTGAATGCATGTTGTTCTATCCCATTGAAAAGGGAAGAGTAAGCTCAAGAGAGATATTGTGCAGGTTAAAATCATCACTGATAATAAATAATAATAATAGCACATATCTCTTACTAGAATTACAATTACAACACTGCCTCCTCCTCCTATCACTATTGTTATTACCTACAGCCTAGTAAGACCATCCTGCAGGTGTACTCACTGATGAAGTTAGTTTGAAGTGCCACACAGAGCAAAGAAAGGGGAGAAAGCACTGAGGTTGTAACTTAATCGGTGGTCCAGTAGGAAGCTCTGGAATTTGGAGGTGTGGCAGAATTCCTACAAAGGTGTTGAAATTCAGGTCTGGTAAACTCTTTAACACTTAAAAAGCAGTGCTCTGTTGTTGCTTTGTGGAGATAAAAAAAAAAAACAAAATTTCAATTAGCAAAATTCCCCAAACAAATTGGATTTTGGGATCACTGTATTTGGTTTTTGAAAAATGAAACAAAAAGACATTTTTAGTGTCTTTTTCAGATTTATTTTTTAAAATCAACTTCCAGAAGCTCTTTTGAGATAGAACTGCTTTAACAGTTCACCTGGGCCAAGTGATAAATTGATCATTATGCCGTGTGTTACTTTAAATGCTATCGGGGCACAGTTTAGAAAAGTTGGAGTAGTCAAAAGACTACTTGGGAGTCATTCAGACTGGACCCTAGAGGTGACTTGACTGAACCCTTCATTTTATAGGAGATGAAAGCGAGGTCCAGGATTTTCAAATTCCGCAGACATTTTTACTGCCAAACAACTTACATCTCGTGAGCAGTGATGTCTTTACAGCCAGTGGGTGCTCACCACTATAAGCCATTAAACTGTTTCCAAAAATAACTACAAGAATTGGGGGCCATGACGAGGGCCGACGAGGGAGCAGGAAGCCCCCGGACGGAACCGGCTATTTTCGTTGTGCAGATGTGGCAGACAGCGCGTGCAAATCCTCAGGTCAGAGCAGTGCGCTGTAGACACGCCTGCCAGACCCTCCCAGTTACCTTGCACACCCACGAAAACACAGACCTGCCTCCTTCAGTGCCAATACATGGTGGTGGCGGGGGAGGGGGTCACTCCAGCCGTGGGGATCTTACCTTCTGGGGCTGCCTCTCGGCAGCCACGGGACACCAAGCTGGCACCCGCAGAAGCCGGGAAGTTTGAGGGTTCAGGAGCTGGGCCTGAGGGTGTCAGAGATCACGCAGGCGGGAGCGGGGAGAGGAGACCCGCAGTCCCCTCAGCGCTTCTTACGAGATGTGGTCCCCTCAAGCCAATCACCCGAAGGGCGGACACTGAAGGCCTGCGGGGCTCGCCAATCTCTGGGTCCGGAGCTGGGAGGCAGGGACGCGTCGTCGTCATGGAGACAGGATCGCTTACTACTGGGGCCAAAGGAGCCACGACGAGGCGGAGCAGGAGCGAAGGGGCGGAGCAGGAGCGAAGGGGCGGGGAGAGAGAGGCGGAGGGGCGGGGCGAGAAGGGCGAGAAGGGCGGGGCGGTGGCCGGGTAAACTCTGAGAGCTACGGAGAGGGCGGGACGAGCGGGCGCGGGGACAGAGATCCCACCCAGGGTAGCAAATCTCCGGCACATAGCCTCGGACAGACCGGAGGACGCGGCTTGGTTACTCTCGGAGGGACCGAAGTGAGGCGGGGGGATTGGAATGTCGGTGTCTATTCCTGATTCTGATTCTAGGGGCTAGAGGGAAAGAGGCAGGGTGTTTTAAACTTAGGGAGTAAAAGGTGTTTTGAGTTGGGAGGTGTTATAGTTTATATCTAGATGTACCCCTAAAGCCTCGGGCGCTCAAAGGTGGGTCTAATGAGAGGTGATTGAATTACAGGGGCTGTACAGCTGACTTGCTGTTACAAGGTGGGTTCCTTCTGGACAGAAGAGGCGGAGCATTGTGGGCATGGCCAAGAATGGCGCACCGCCCTTCGCTGCTGCCCCCTCGGCTCTGCTTTCTGATCACCGTGAGGTGAGCAGCCCTGTATCCTCCAAGCTCTTCTACAATGCTGCCCTGCCTTGGAGCCAGCCAGAGCTATGGACTGAAACCTCTACAAACTGTGAGCCAAAACAAACCTTTCCTCAAGTTGCAGATGTAGGTTATTTTGTTCCAGCAAAGGTCCCCCAGGAAGGTGACTAAAACAAGAGGGATGAATGTCCCTGGATGTAGATGAACAGATGTCCCTAGAAGAACATGGTTTCCCAACATGTGGTCACCCCAGGAAGATTATGGGTTTCCCAGGGGCCTCTGTGAGCCAGTTAGCCCAGAAATACTACCCAAAAGGTTACAACCGGAGGCTCAACTGTCCTACCAGCCTGGGCCAAATTCCTTTAGCTTTGGGAAATGTCATTGCTTAAAAAACTGCTTTGGTTACAAAAGAGGACAGGAGAGCTTTTGTGTTAGAAAATTCTAATTGTTCCACAAATTGTCTTTTAGGAAAGAATCCCAATTTGGGATGCAGGAAGTAGTCTTTCTTGTTGCTAGGCAATGTGTTCTGAAGGAAGGCCTTTTGTTGAAATTAAATCTGGATTCGAATTTCACACAGTAGCCACATACTAGGTATAATGGCTATTTAACCTGTGGAATTGTGTAACCTCTGGGTACCTTCATGGATGGTGCTGAACTTCAAATGATAAAAATATGTAATTTTTGCTATGTAAAAGATGCTTAATTATGGCAATTATTTAGCATTATTATTTTACTCCCTAAGCTTAAGAATATACAAAAATTTAGTTATTTTGAAATTCTCCACATCTCTTATAAACTAGGATTGTTACAGGAAATAATTCCGAAGATGAAATATGAAATGTTATATCTCTTAACCTGTTAACTGTATGATGCCCAGTTCTTGTTCTCTAGAAATCAGGGGTTAAGAGTAGGAAGATATTTATTGATAGGAAAGCTCCTAAGGGGCAGGAAGGGGACCTGAGTGGGTACCCTGAGTAACGCCACTTTACAGAGGAGTTTTATGGGGTGAAACCCACATGGGTACAAAGTGGGCCAGAGCCATGAACATCCAATAAGGTTATAAGTATAGTCACTTAGGTAATGGTGGTCCAATTGGGAAACAAATCACATGACAAGTGTGGATGGAAAAAACAAAGATTCTCTTAGGAAGTGGTGGGTCCAGAGGTCTCTGGTCACCCACTGGGGTGATTGATGTCTATCTAGACTTCATTAGGCCCAGTGTTTTTTCATTGAGGAAGTATGTAGGTCTGGTCATCTTGTCTTTATCTTGAGGCCCGGTGCCTCTGGTGCAGCTACAGTGTGTTTCACCTTTGTCCTGACTCTCTCCAGGACCTGGCCCTATCTGACTGCCTATAATATTTCTACCTAGCTCATCTGTATATAATAGGATGATAGTTGGGCAAAGGAAAAAAAAAATCAGAATAGAAGTTTAAATAATTCAGTGAGGGCTGGGGATTTAGCTCAGTGGCACCACACCTACCTCACAAGTGCAAGGTCCTAAGTTCCATCCCTGGTACCAGAAAACAAAAACAAAAACAAAAACAGAATTCAGTGAATCCCTGGACAGATACATCCCTGGTTTGATAAGGGCACACACAGCAAAGCTCTCAGTCATGGCAACATCCTTATATAGCTGATGTCTTAAGTTTGATCAAAGACTTTCTATTTAAAAACAAGGCAAAGGTAATTCATTATATTTCTTTATTAACGTCTTTTGAACATTAATTTTGTTGAATCTGCTTAGTACTGATAATTAAGTAGGGGCTGACTGGCTATTCCCATTGTCCTACTCCAAGAAAGTATAAGGCACTATCAGTTTGAACAGATTAAACTTTCTTTTCCTGCCCATCTTCCATTCAAAAGAAAAATTCAAGTTGATTTATAGAATGCAGGGTTTTCAATTTTTGTTTATTGCTCCTGAAAGAAGGGGCAAAAATAGATTGTGACTTTAGAGAACTATGGTCTCCTTGCAGGAAGTGTGTAGACAGACCTGGCTTCCTCTTTGGACATCACGGTCTTTGTATGCACAGCATGGATGAGTGTACTACTCATTCCTGTAGCTCAGAACATGGCCAAGAGAAAATAAGTCAAGCCCCTTGCCACACAGACTGGCACGTGATGTCTGAACAATAACCTTTAGGTATTATTATTACTCCTACTGTATTATTCATGTGAATAAAAACACCTAATTTCAGGGTAGCTGTAGGGATTAAAGATCATTTAGGTAAAATACCTGGCCCAGCGCCTATTCAAAATTACAGTGGTTATTTTTTTTTCTCTTTGATAAAAAATGATTACATTTCATCTTTATTTGTGTAACATGAGAAATAATTCACCTGTCTCTGCAACTTATGTACAGAAGTTGTTATTGGTATAATATTCAAAAGTAAAATACATAGTAGCTCTGGCCTGTGCATTCAGAGCACTGAAATTACTAAAAGTATCTATCTAGTGAGGGTTTGTTCTGACAAGATGGGGAGGAGAAAGCCAAATGTTCTTATGAAAATATTGAATCACCCCACAACAACTACCTTTCATCATACTTCATCAAGTTTTGTTTTGGTGGTGCTAGGGATGAAACCCAGGGCCTCATGTATGCTAGGCAGGAGCTCTACCACTGAACCCAGCCCAACTCTGTCACTTTAAAAGTTTTATTACAGATCTAGATGTTAGCAGAACATGATATAAAAATGCATAAGTAACTGTTAGTGTTTTCTGATTATAAAAATAACACAGGAGAGCCTAGAGGTATTAAAAAAAGCCAAAAACCAAAACCAAAAAATATACATATTCATGATGGACACAATGAAAAAAAAAACACCTAGAATTCCTCCATCCAGTAGTAATCTCAGTCACCAATTCTATTTTTCCTTGTAGTCCATTTTAGTGCATTTTAATAACAAATGTATTTGAAGTAATACGTATAGCTAGCATTCCTTCTAGCTTATCATTTTCTCTTGAACATTTCCTCAATGTCTTTTAGGTCTTCAAAACATTTTAGGGTCTATATAATATTATATAATATATGGAAACCATAATTTATAATTTATTCAACCAGTTTCCAATTTTGAAATTTCCAGCTTTTCTTTTGTAATTAATTGTCTGGAAAGTATTTGGGGGGCGCTTAGTAATAGGAGACACTGTGCTAGGCAAAAGACATAAGTGGTGAAGAGTAACTGTAAAAAATAAGGTTTGGATGAACATTATTGTAAATAACTCTTTGATGGCATCTTTCATTCCTACACTGAAATTCCTAGTAACTATGAAAACATAACTTCAAAAGGCATTCTTGAAGCTTCAAAGGCAAATTTAAACTAAAATTCTGAACTGTAAAATATTAACTTTTTGGAATAATACCAACAAGAGAATTAATATTTATTTTGTGCAAAGTGTGAACTTACGCAGAAGATGCTTTCTTGTTAGTTGCTGAGAATCACCAAGCGTTTTTGAAGTGTATTGACTTTGGCTTATACTTCTAATTCTTTCCAGGATTTGCTGGTTTTCTCAATAGTATGAGGTTGTTTGAAGTCTATGCAAATTGCCCTACTTCCTCTTCTCACAGTTAAAATGTTAACTACAGTATTTTATTTCCAGCTTTCTTCTTGTAAACATATGGCTTTCCTACATTTGTTTTATTTATCTTCTGTTATGAAGTATTTTGTATCTTTACATTTACAAACCTGTAGGTAGATTTCTATCTTTTCAAACCCAAGTTACAATACACAGAGTCCTAAAAGTTACTGGACTCAGCAAGCTCCTATACTTAGTTTTGGTCAAGAAATATATAATTAACTAGTGCATTTAGGGAATTTCATAACAGGAATCATTAAAAGCAATAACCATCCCCATAACACACATGTGTATGGACATGGATGCATACCTCCCTACTATTCATTGACAATTTAATTTTTACATATTAGGTCAAGCCATATAAATTGCCATTTGTAGATAACAAATGGGCAAATAATGGGCAACTTCTTGTGATTCCATCTATAAAAATACTTCATGAGTTGGTTTATGCTTTTATCCCCTTTCTCCAAATATTGAGCTTCCTGATTATCATAAGAAAGCATTTCCTTTATTATTGCCCAAGATTGTGTTTGTTTAGCTTTCATAAATTTTTGCACCAGTCAGAAGAACCATAAAATATTTGTTTATTATTTTGGAGACAGTAGAGGGAGCTTAGAGCTAAAACATTGTTATTGTAGAGATGATTGTCTTCCAATTCTTGATGTGTGAATGAATTTAAATACCAGTATAGGTCCAGGGATTTAGCTCAGTGGTTACACTGCCTGCTGTGCAAGTGCAAGGGCCCGAGTTCGATCCCCAGTACCAAAAAAAAAACAACCCAGTATATATGTGATGTAGTGATTTTAAAAAACAGTTCATTATGCTTAAAAAATCACTTTAATAAAATGAGAAGGTTGGCTGCCATGTAGGTGGGACTTCATCAGGGTTCTTGCTATGATTAACCGAGATCTCTGAGTAACACAGGAGACAGTACATTGCCACACTGACACATTTGGGCTTTGCAGTTTCTCCTTTTCAACTCATAATGTCACTCAACCTTTTCCATGGGCATTATAGTATGATTCTTTATTTCATCAGAACTTCACACTTTGTTACTATTTCCAATCTGTGTCAATTTACACTCATTGTAGTTTAGTTGATTGCTTTCTCCAAACCTGTACTGAGGCCCTTTGATCCTGCTTCAGCTCACATTCTTCTAGGAAGGTATCTAATAAATGAGCACTTCCTTTCATAGACTGAGGATTTTTTTCAAGCCTTAATTAAAGATATCTCTCTAACCCTCTCCACAACCATCTTTATCTTCCATCCAATCTTTTGCTAACTGCCTAGTGGCCCTAGGTTATGAAGAGTTCCTAAGGTAAATGGTGGTGTCAGCCTATTCTTCACTATAGCTAGTCTAGGGAAGACTTAAGACCTCAAGGTAACACAAATTCCTAAGTCTAGAGATAAGATGGAGAAGAAAAGGGAGATAG